AGCGCTCGCTGCTATTGGATGATCTAGAAGAATACACCAATAGCAGCGAGCGCTCACGGATCCGCTCCACAACAGTTGAGTCTGCTGAACGCGACCATAGCGATAAGCTTCGCGCATGCGTACAAATTCGCGCCAGTTGCCTACCGAGTCTCCCTCTAGCGATTGGTGACAGTTATCGTTGCTCCTGCGAATTCGCGATCGTTCGCATTTCGCGCAATTTCACGATGTGTCGCGATGAGCGCTTCTGTTAAGACTTGTTATTTACGTACCTTGGAAGGAACTCCGACGAATGTTTATCTGCCGGACAATACACCAATTTTCGTTGGACGCTCGCCGGAAACCGGCATCACAGACGTGAAATGTTCGCGACAACAAGGTCGCATAATTTTCTGAGAGTCCCTTTTTTCCCGCATTGTTTACAAATTAAAGATAAGAGCTCGCTCCACGTGACACTTGAACTTATGTAATTATTTTCGTTTGTGTAAAAGAGAATTACATTGACACAATATGAATAAGAATTTTGAATGATTTGTTCTTGATGTTATATATATATATAGAGTGATTTTTTAAAAAAGTTCAATAAATTTGCAGAGTGGTTGAGTTCAATTTTTTGGTTGTATTCAATAAAGCTCAAAATAAAGTTCAAAATATAAATATTGGAACACGTAATCTTGCAGAATAAAACCAAGAAATTTGTCTTTAAATTAACACAAAAATAAAAATTATAATAGCTGATTAAATAGTGATAAAGTAGATAAAGTATTAATGATACAATTAATTTTTTACAGCATAGCAAATAATTTTGCTTAAGCCTTGCCTTAATTAGTATCATAAAGATTTTAAATAAGTATTCTTATATGAGAGGCTTTTAAATTAATTATTAAGATTTAAAATGAAAAATATTTAATTGTCGTTTGCCCTATTCATGATGTTTAGAATTGGTAAGAGTGTTTTAGTACTATTTTAAATTTTACATCTTTAACTGCCGTTTAACTTTTATATTATATTGCAATAATTATTACTTTATTTAACATTGGTAATAACCCGATATAGCTTGAAACATTTATTATTATGTATGAGTTTTATATTGTTTATTAATTTTAGTATTAAATATTTATCTTTGGCTTGTAGATCTTTAGTTTATTTAGTTTGTTTTAAATGAAAAGATGTTAGAGTAACAAAGGATTTAAAGAAATTTGAAGATTATTTAATGCAATTTTATCCCTTTTGCAAGTTGTTAGTACAAATGAATACATTAATCTGCTTTCAACAGTTCGACTATGTGCAAACTATACGGAGGCTATCGTCACAGTTCAACAAATCGGCTCCCACGCCTGTGGTTTTAATGGCTTTAAAACTCAGAAAGATGTAAAATTTGTAGCCAGACACAATGATCGCTTGGAGCTGCTCTATGGCAAGCATGCTTTCGAAATAGAGTTCAATCCACCTCCAAGTGTAAACAATTTTGCATCGAGAAAGAGATTGTATGAATCAGAAACAGAAGAAACTGAGGGCAAAACGAAAATGTTGAAGTCAGATAATTACTCTAATAATCATTCCGAAGAATCTGAGAATGACAGAGAAGAAGAGGGATCACCTTCGAATGGTATACATATCGATCAGAAAACATTCAGCACTGGTTCTAGCACATCCTCTGAGCAGAGCACTGAAAGCTCAAATACATCTGCAAAGTGGGACAGTGTGGATAATGGAAAATTGTTAATTTATACAGCAGCATCTGTTCAAAACCGATCAAAAGTAATTTTAATTGTCAATTACAAGATTTATTTAATACATTCTTGAATAGATCAATTAATAATTTACATATATATATATATATATATTTGTTAATAAGATTTTTATAAATATTGATGTTAAAAATGAATTTTGTTTTTAGGTGGCTGCATATGATATGGATGGTACTTTAATAAGAACTAAATCTGGTTTGGTGTTTCCAAAGGACTGCAACGATTGGCAGTTGCTCTATCATGACGTACCTGGAAAATTGAAGCAGCTTCATATGACCAGATACAAAATAGTGATCTTTACAAACCAAGCAGGTCTTAGCACCGGAAAATTCAAAATCAGTGATTTCAAAGGCAAGATCGAGAAAATCGTACAAAAAATCGGCGTTCCTATTCAAGTATGGTAATCATAATTATAATTTTCACATAAATTATAATATTTTCACTTATGCATATATTTTGCAGGTTTTTATTGCTGTGGGAAAGAGCATTTATAGAAAGCCAACAATTGGTATGTGGGAATTTCTGGAAAGAGAGGTACATAAAATCTTTTTAAATGTATAAAATAATATTAAATATTATGAATATTTTAGAATGTTTACAAAGAGAATTAAAATATAAAAGTCTCTTAAGGAATTTTTTCTTTTTTTTATTGTCAATTCATTTCTTACATTATTAAGATAAAACTAATTCTAAGTCTATATTATTCTTTATTATTATTAGTTAATTATAAATATTTTATTTGATTTCTTAATTGTTTAATTTTTATTTACAATAATTCCACGTTTATGTAATTGCAGAAAAATGGAGGTATCACAATTAACAAGGCTAAATCATTTTACGTCGGTGATGCCGCTGGTCGGCCAAAGAACTGGGCCCCAGGGAAAAAGAAAGATCACTCGAGTGTGGATCGATTAATGGCGTTGAATGTTGATGTCAAATTCGAGACGCCTGAAGAACACTTTTTAAAACGTAAAGCACCACCTTATGAGTTACCTAAGTTTAATCCAAAAAATCTATCGCAAACCGACATATGCAAACCTGCGGACGCGGAATTAACACTCGAACAGCAAGAGGTAGACAATAATACACTTTTGATGTTAATTTTTACATTTAAAGTTTTTTTAAAGATTAAATATTGAGAGAGAGGTTTAAAAGGAGAGAGATTATTTAATTAAAATTATTTGATTTGTAATAACATTTCTTTTTATACGTATCTTATTCTTTCATCAACAGATAATACTTATGGTCGGCAGCCCAGGCTCCGGAAAATCACATTTTACAAAGAATCATCTAAAGGAATACAGATATGTCAACAGAGATACTTTACGCAGCTGGCAGAAGTGTATTGCTGCAGTCCAGCAATACTTGAATGAAAGAAAAAGTGTAGTTATAGATAATACTAATCCTGACAAAGTTTCGAGAGAGAGATATATAGAGGTAGCCAAGAAGTGTAATGTCCCGGTCAGATGTTTTGTCATGACGACAAGTCTAGAACACGCTAAACACAATAATAAGGTAATAATCGGAAATCAACTATCATCGTATGAAGGAATGTTCGGAAAGCTTTAGTCGAATTATTGCATTGCAGTTTCGCGAATTGACTGATCCAAGCCACACTCCAATCAATGACATTATTATACACTCTTATATGTAAGTGAAATTTAGATATATATACTTTCATGCATTTTTTCCTAAAATTCTATATTATAATCATAATTTTGAGTTTTCTTTTATCAGAACGCAGAGTTATCTTTATTACCAAACTAGAACTTAATTGGGAACATAAGAAAAATATAAAACATATAAAAAATAGATAAGCTAGTTTGATTTTGATAAAGAAAAGATTTGTCACTCAATAAACACGTTTAAGGTTCTTAATTACTGCGCAATATTGGATCGTGATGACATGAGCGAGAAATGACACGTTGAAGTTTCTTACATGCTATTTGTAACTAAAAGAGAGAGAATTTGGATAAAATTAAATAATAAAATTGCTTTTTAGAACACTTATAAAAAATGGACCGAAACTATTCTTGTCTTCCTCCTTCCGACAATTGGCAAATAATCGTAAAAAGTACGTAAAGTGAAAATACGCATAAATAAATACGCAGAAAATAAGCTTTTATGATTATTTTCTAACTGTCAGAAAGGGAAGGATAAGGATCGTTTCGATCAATTTGTACAAGTGTTTTAAAACAAGTTTATTATTTTATTTTATCTAAATTCTCTGTCTATATATAAATGACGTCAAGAAACTTTAACGTATTATTTCTCGTTTATGATATCACGATTCAATATAGCTGCGGCTAGTCAGGAGCCTAATTATTAGATAAAATATCAAAACTTTCATATTCTGTGTGCAGGAAAAATTATGAACCGCCAACTTTGGAAGAAGGTTTTAAGGAAATAGTGGAAATCAATTTTGTTCCGAATTTCCGTAATGAACAGGATCGAAGGCTCTATGAGATGTATTTACTCGAAAATTAAATCCTATAGATTACTTAAAAGTATTTAAACAAATAAATCTTGCATGATATATAAATTGAAATCCGCCGCCGCATCTATTTTTAATTAATATAGTAACGATATAGTATAGCTAGCAATAAAAATATTTATTAGATTACTCATTGCAGTCTATCTTAACTACCTAATCAATTATTTATTTGATTATTTATTTATTTGATACAGGATGCCTACAGGGTGTGTCTCAGAATTCACAGAAAATGAATTATTATTTTATACGACTCTACAAATTTATAGTATATAAGTATTTATTTTTAATGGCTCACGAGAAAATAATTAATTTTTTAATTTTAAGGAATTTCACATATATTTCTTTATTTTCGTCACTTGTTTGGGACACCTTGTTTAAACCTACTTTTCTGTGTAAATACTATAATTAATTTATTGATGATTACAGAGTTCTTTTTATTTGATACAACTGCGTTTGATATCGACTCAGATATATAGCAGATGCTTAATTATCATAACACGTCTGCTGGCTACGACCTTCCCAATTTTTTAAATGTCAACTAACATAAAGTGCCAGAAGTTATACATTACAAGCTGTCGATAAGAATATTGTAGGAAGATAGAAAAGAGAGGAGCAGTCTTAAATTTTATATTCGATGATGGTCACTGTTCTTTATCTGTGAACAGCATGACTTTCTTCGAACCGGGGCTAAATCCACGACCCCAATAGAGGGTTTTCCCCTCCCATTTTTCAATCGCAATTGTTAGGCATCCCCTAGTTCTTCGATAGAACGGTTGATTGTGCCACGTGATGTAGCGAGAATAGTGCGACGCTCAATGCGGACTCAGTCAGTGCCCGCGCAGACGTCGTCGCGACGAGTCGTCTTCCTCGCTGTTCCGTTGCCTGTACGTGTATATGCGTGCGATCTCGTGCGTGATGAATTTGTGAGCAGGAGCAGGGTGAAAAATCCAGTCACGTGTGTGACGAGGAAGAGTAAAGTGAGTACAACACAAGCTTAAACGAGGAATTCAACCGGTCGAGCAACATCTGCGGTGCTTGAGAATGATGCGGTGGATCAGTCCCTATGAATCCTCAATTTCCGTGCAGTCTGCCAAAAATAGTTCTGTCATTTCTTGCCGTACTACTACGGTACATTTCTCCTCTATGAATCGCGCAGTAATGGTTCAGAGTGTGATTTAACGGTATATATTATGTCCAATCGTGATATAAATTTAATAAAATATATAAACCATTCTAAACCATTGCACTATAAATCGTAATTGCATAAAATGTATAATATATAAATTTAATTATTATTGATTTTTATAATCTACAGTTTCACATATTTATGTCTATATGAAATTATCAAACTTTAAAAGCGAATTTTAATAAGAAACAGATATTTATTCACTAGAAGATCCGAGTTTGTAATTTGTTAGTGTTTCTCGACGCTGTATGTTAGATTATATGGCGATCTTTGTTTTCTAAATAAATAATTTTTCTTCTTTGGCACTCTTAAATCTCAATGCAATTTTAATTATGATTCAGAAATAGATGAGGGAGGATAGAACCGATAATTTAAAACATCTTGTTTCTTTACTTTTTATACTTGGAGAGTTCTGGAGAAATCGACTCCAAATTTTTTTAGGAAATTATATTCTTAAGAAAGAAAGCACTCTCTCTCTTAGTACATATTATCTATCTGTATTTGTTGATCTTCAATATAATAAATAATATCTATAGTTAACAGAAATATTTTAAAAATTATCTTCTTTTTTTACAAAATAAAGTAACCAGTTATTATTGTCAGAATGATTAACATTACTACAATAGTTTCTTTTATTATTAATCAATATTACTATTATTATTATTCATTTTATTACTATTGTTCCTATATATATTACTATTACTATTAATATTACTATAATTATTGTTATTATATATTGCATATAACGTTACTTATTTTAAATGCTATTAAAATTGTGTAGAAATTATATGCAAATTATGGAATTGTTTAAGCATTAAAGATCTAGTTTGACCGTTTAGGATCTTTATTTCTGGTTTTGTTGTATAACGTTACTACTATTGTTACTATTGTTATTGCTACTAATTGTTATCGCTATTATATCGATTGGAAAATGTGGAATGTCGGGTTTGGAACACCCGGTATATTAATTACGCTCATACGCACAGTCGTTGTTCGAGCGTAGCTCGTTTCTGCTTGGTATCTTCCGTTCCTCGTGTATTTTACGTCATGACAAGATTACGTCACGAGTCAAGTCATTTTGCAAGTGATATTCATGTTCGTCACGATGCATCTTGAACGCGTCATCGTCCACCGAGTGTCTCAAAATATCCTGCGCGATGCACGCCAACATCAGAAAGAGGAATTCTCGCATTGTATTAGTATCGAGCTTCTTTGGCATTTCGTAATGTTAAAATGCTTAACATTATGAAAACACTTGGATGTTTTTTGAATTTTTTAATTTATATTTGAATTTGTACACCATTTTTGAATCGCAAAAGGTTTCGACCGTGACTGAATAAATTAAAAAGATGACTAAATAAATTATAGAAGTGACTAAATTAAGTTGAAGAAATACACATATATTATACATACTTGAAGATATAATTTTATTAATTCAAATATATATTTTAATTAACAACTCTCACGAAAAATAAAGTAAGTTTGTCTTTATAATAATAATTTAAAATAATAATCGTTAATAAAAGTTTTAATATTTTTGACACGTTTTAATATCTTTGACGCACAAGAATTTTTCTGCGTCATGCCTCTGAGAAAATTATTTAGAAAATTATATAACATGAAAAGAAAAACAAAATTTGCTGAAATATATGTATTTAAAAATTCAGCTAGATAAAAAGAGAAAAATAATTTTGTTGAATTATTAAAATAATTATATAGGACGCGCTAGTATAATGAACAGTTCTAGTTTGCATGTGCTATAATAAAATTATTCAACAAAACTATGCTTTGCAGATTATTATGTCTATAATAAATATATCTAATTGCATGAAAATTTCCATGAATATACTTTGCAGAAAAACGATCGCAACGTTCGAAGCTTTCTTTGCAATTTTCCATTTGACGGCTATGAAAGTTATATAATCGAGAAAAAGCTCGAGAAAAAGACATTAATTTTTTTCTAATTTACTTATGTCTATTCTGTATCTTTGTTTTTGTATATAAAGGAAGATATTAAGGAAAAAAGATACTGTTATATATAAGTTTCAAATAAAAAATGTAACATTCGAAGCTTTCTTTGCAATTTTCCATTTGACGGTTATGAAAGTTACATAATCGAGAAAAAGCTCAAGGAAAAGACATTAATTTTTTTCTAATTTACTTCTGTCTATTCTGTATCTTTATTTTTGTATATAAAGGAAGATATTAAGGAAAAAAGATACTGTTATATATAAGTTTAAAATTCTTAAAAAATCTCAATCTGCAAATTGAAGTAATATAAAATTTCAAATAATGTTGTAAAGGACATATAAGAGTCAAATAAACCGTTAAAAATATATATATGTCACAGAATTAAATAAAATAAAATTTAATTGAACGTTAGTAAGAATCCCACCGCTGCCACCATGATTCTTACTAACGTTCAATTAAATTTTATTTTATTTAATTCTGTGACATATATATATATTTTTAACGTTTTATTTGACTCTTATATGTCCTTTACAACATTATTTGAAATTTTATAATATTTAAGAGTCCTATGAATCTTTTTATTGAAATAATATTAGTGCACAAAGGAAAAAAATTTTTAAGATAGTCTTAAAACTCTCAAGACTTTCGAAATGTTCAAAATTCCAAGCTCTTAGAAACTTGTTTTGATTGAAAACAAAATTATTGTACATATGTATACGAAAAAAAAATGGTTTTTACAAAGTATCTAAAAATTCAATTAGCCACAGATTTAATAATAAAATCATTTTCTTAGACCTCTTAGTCTTGTTTTAGATAAATTAACATAATTATGTAATGCGCTCAAATCATTTTTTTGCATTGCTTATTACTTGAGTGTCCTACAAAATTATTTTTATAGTCCAACGAAATTATTTTCACAAATCTGTATCTAGCTAAATTTTTAGATATCTCAGCAAAATCGCGTGTAAGTGGAAATCTCAAATCATTTTGAAGTTTCTAAGAATGTTAAATTTGGAACTGTCAAAAGTCTTGACGTTACCTAGAAAATGCATTTTTTTCTTTTATAACACTTTATTATTCAGTTTTATTATTTCAATTCGCAGATTTACACTCACTGTTAAAAATCTCATGCAATTTAATATACTTTTAAGTTACACGATTTGAACTTAATTTCATGACATTACATTAAATTTAATGCATTTATAACTGAAAAGTATATTTGTGTACATGTACATGAAATTTAATATATTTTTCATGAAAATTTATGAAATTTAATGTACTTTTTATAAAATTTTATGAAAAGTACATTAAATATTATAAATTTAATGTACACGTTCATTACATTTAAGTAACTACTATAACTTAATTTTCAGTTAAATCATTCATTACTTTCAATTTCGTTCATAACCACGAGTTTTATTTATATGTAAAGGAAGCTCGTAGTTACATTTCTCTGCTGTTAGAAATGTTTGTAAATTTACAATATCCTTACGATAACAATGTGCATTAAATTTACAAACCATGTAACGTTTTGCTGTGATTTCATAATATTTGTAAATTTACAATAGAATTTGTTGTGAATTTACGAAACTGGCGTGCCGCGCACGAGTATTAGAGATCTACATATACTTTACCACAAAATGTTATTCTAATTTCACAATATAATACTGTTTAAATTTACAACACATTTTTGTTGAATAAAAACTTCCAACACTTTTGGAAGTTTACAACAGAAATTTCTTACAATGTAGGCGACAATCTATGTATATTCGAAACGATTCTATGAGTCACTAAAACACTGGCCTTCACATATTAAAATCGTACGTGATAGCTTCTAAATATCGATAAGCTGATACAGAGTTATTTGCTATGCATATCGTATCCATCCGAGTTGCCTATCCATTTATTATTCAGCGTCTATAATTTTTTTCATGTTGTTATGATTTTAATTCTCTTTCCTGGATTCTCTCGCACTTCTTGTATAGATGCGGAAAGTCATTCATGAGAACAATTATTTGATTCTTGAACAATTGTCGTGAGAACTCGATTGCGGATAAGATTACAAAAGTTTTTTAAATCCTTGACTCCTCCAAGAACTCCGTATTCTCTCATTCATATTTTCCGATTCTTCTTCTTGGTAAAATCACTCTTGTTACATTTCGCAGTTTTTCAAGATTTTTTTTCGATTACTTCAAAATTTTATTTACTCTGGAATTAAGATAATTATGATAATTAATAATTTATTTTCGTTCAATAAACAGCACTTCAATATTGATTGGATATTCAAATACAGAAGAGAAAAAAATTTCTAAAAAGTTGGGAGACTGTTCTCTGTAAATTCCGAGAAAAATCGCGAATGTATATTTTTGCCGCTGTAGAGGCTCGCTCGTTTCGCATGAAACTCAGTGAGTCATGATCAGACTCTGTGTGTTTCAGTGAAGATTACGTATCGTGCGTCGCTGAACAATTGACCTCAACATCTCACGAGTTAAGCTTCAATGGAGAGTTACACACAACACGCCTTTGTCTTAATGCATTTAATTTCTCTTAATTGTCTTTTTAACGATGCTGACTTACGAAGCGCATTCGATGCTGATAGTGATACGTTAATCGAGAGGTCATCTTTGCTGTAATACTGAAATATATGATATTTAGCGATACAATTTTGAGACGCTTCCAAACAAATTAATTTTACAATTATAAATTAATGAAACAATTCAAAATAATCGACAATGATGAAGTTGACAAATATAAAATCTCAGTAAACGAGAATGGATTAAAATGGATTGAAATTTTTAGTTTATCCAAATGCGTATTTAA